TGAACCCCCACCAGAACCATATGCAATGGGGAGGCGGAGCTCCAGCTTACCCGTACGGTCAGGCATCTTCCATGTACGGAGCGCCTGGTATGCAACAGCCCCAAATGCGGATGTCCCACGTTCAACCAGGACCGAGCATACGATCCGACGTCCAATCTCAGATTATGCAACAGACGGCACAAAACTTGAATTCGCAGTTATGGCTCATGCAGATGATGAACTGTATGAATCAGCAGGGAAACCCGAACTTTGCCCCGATGCCTCAACAGCCCTGGCAAGGCTATAATCCGATGCCGCAAGTCAATGGCTTCCCTGTACCTCCGCCAGCTCCGGTGGAATCTTTCTCGACCTTGCCGGGCTATGCAAACGCTGGCATGGGTCCTGCGGGAATGGATTATGCTGCGTTTCAAGCAGCGCAGCAGTACAGGGTCAACATGTCAACTCATCGACCTGGAACCATGTACACGCCTTCGATCGCGCCATCAGAGCGAAGTAACGTTGGACTTCCAAATCGATATCGACCTGGCACGGTGTACACCCCTTCGATAGCTCCGTCGGAACGAAGTACAGTTGGTCTCCCGAGTCGCTATCGACCTGTGTCGAAAGCTGCCAGCCAGAGGGGGACCGAAACAAACACGCCAACCAAGGACACAAACAGCATTAATAGTTACCTGGGCCCCACTGGGGCTGATACTAGGTCTGTTGCCCAGAGCGGAAGCAGTGGCTTCGGCTCAGGGCAATCAGAGCAAGGGACGAGAGTGAAGAAGGAGAAGAAGGACAGGAGAAGAGCCATGTGGATGGGCAAGAGGGAGACAAGTGACACGAGTTGCGCCACCTTGGGGTGTTTCTCAGCACAATCTCCCTCTCAGTCTCCCGAGGAAAGTCGATACAATAATAGGCAATGGGGTCGATGAGGCCCCGGAGGAGGATGGAGCATTCTCTTGACTTTCTTTTGTTGCTGCGTCATTCTGTTCCATTGTACGGACTTAAATGATATCCCTATAGTAATATTAGACTTGACGCATAGACTAGAGGCATTTTCATCAAGTGGTAGAGCAGGTTGCATTTGGTAGTTTAGACACTCGACACGTAATACATCAACCTAATAGTAGTATTGTTGAGTACCTAACTTGGTGATTATCAATCTGCGTGATTATGAACACAAGTGAGCTTGGCTGAGACGCATTTATCAGTTGATTTACCTTGTTCCGTATACATGCGTGTGCAACCTGTCCAACGTGGGATTGTTAGTATCAATGACGTCTTCAACAGGAGGTATCGGATTTAACATTAGATGGATCAGCAAGCCATCCAACTCACCTCAACCTCCAAGACTCTATGACTCTTACGCCGATGTTAGTTTCATAGCTGCCATATATGCCTCATTGATGCCTACTCCTCCTTTTGCCGTCATAAACCCAGATATTTGCCGGAGCAAGGATCCGAATACGGTCAAGGTCAGTTACCGCCTTTCCTATTCCACCTTTGTGTTGCCGGAGTCGTTTATCCACATCGACCCACAGAGTACATTAATAATGCAAAAGCCTCCAATTATCTCGTCGTCCAAGCCGGACTTAACATCCCTTCTTACAGCCGATTGGACAGGTTATGAAAGTCTATCACGGTGGATTGTCGTCAGTCGAGGTATCACGTCGTGTTGAAACCAGCTGTCGCCATACCCCTCACTTGAAGATCTCCACCTCGTATCAAGGCGGTCTGCTGGAGTTGTATATAAACAGCTCAAACCCGGTACCTCTGTTTGTTTCTCGTTTAGCAAATAAACGAAAATCACCACCATTCTTCAAAATGTCGGTTGTCAAGTCCTCGTACGACCCCAAGGACATGCAGTTCCGCCACCTGGGCCCCACTGGCCTCAAGGTGAGCGTGCTCTCCTTGGGAGGATGGTTGACCTACGGAGGCACCCAGAAGGGTAACATCGTCAAGGACTGCCTGCAAACCGCCTGGGACCACGGTATCAACACCTTTGACACCGCCGAGACCTACGCCAACGGTGCTTGCGAGGTTGAGATGGGACAGGCCCTGAAGGAGCTCGACTGGCCCAGAGACGAGTACGTCCTCACCACAAAGGTCTTCTTCGGTACTGGTCGCAAGGAGCCCAACACCCGAGGTCTGAGCCGCAAGCACATCGTCGAGGGTCTCAAGAGCTCTCTGGAGCGTCTCCAACAGCCTTACGTCGACATTGTCTTCGCCCACCGACCCGACTACGCCACCCCTCTCAAGGAGATTGTTGAGGGTTTCACTCAGGTCATCCGAAACCTCAACCTTGCCTACTACTGGGGAACTTCTGAGTGGAGCGCCCAGCAAATTGCTGAGGCCACTCAGATCGCTGAGCGATACAACCTCATCGCTCCTGTTGTCGAGCAGCCTCAGTACAACGCCTTCCACCGCGAGCGCTTTGAGGTCGAGTACGAGCCCCTCTTTAAGCAGTTCAGCTACGGCACCACCATCTGGTCTCCCCTGGCCTCTGGTCTCTTGACCGGAAAGTACAACGACGGCATCCCCGAGGGCTCCCGCTTCGCCACCAACAAGGAGTTCTTCAGCAAGACCGTCGAGGCCCTGCAGACCGAGGAAGGAAAGGCCAAGATCGAAAAGGTCAAGAAGCTCACCGCCATTGCGGAGCGCCTGGGTGGAAACACATCTCAGCTCGCCCTGGCCTGGTGCCTCAAGAACCCCAACGTCAGCACTGTGATCCTGGGAGCCACCAAGGTTGAGCAGATTGAGGACAATGTCAAGTCTGTGAAGCTTTCCGAGAAGATCACGGATGAGATTTACCAGGAGATTGAGGCCATTCTCGACAACGCGCCTACCAAGCCGTTCACCTATGGTCGGGACAGGTAGATGATTATAGACAACAAAGAGTAAATATTTAATAAAATACACGCCCTGGACTATCACCAGAGAAACTTGTATCCATACTGAATCTCATTCAACGGGACTCGTCGTGATGTCTTCAGCGGAAAGTCCAAGTGACGGGAGAGAAAGGTCATTATGATGACCTCAACAGGAGAAGCAGAATGAGGACAAAACGTCTAATAATTGGACTGGATATTGAACATACCAACTTTAGTTTGGTATGATAGATGAAGGCTTGAAGGTCTGAGCTCATTAGTTGAGACTGAGTGCTGCCGTTCACCAGTTGACTGACAACATCTAGCCATCTCTGAAGGCCAACTCTATATGCAACCCAGAAACCACGTCTGGTCTGCCACACAACAGGAGAACTAGTGTGACTGCATTATAGACGAGTTCACGGCTGGCGAGTTGATCTCCTAGCCGAAGCCGGGGTGAGTGACACTACGTCGGAGGCTGAAGAGCCGCTGCCATGGACCTCGCCCCTGGCCTTGACGATGAAACTAGCAATTCATGCTACTGGAGCTTGTTAGTCTTCATCGACGTACGCGCTTATTATTGGCCTTCGCCAATGGCTCCAGTTACCGCGTTCGAGCAATGGCAGTCTACCATACGGCCCAAACCGTAGCGCTTGTCTCAACTCTTGGGTTACCATCGACAACAGTCACGATCCCTTCCTATGCCTAGGTAGCAAAGTTGAGTGGAATGCTAGCTTGTGTTGATGCACCAATTATGAATCAGCATGAGACTTGGATGAGTATATATTGCCATGCCTGGTTCTACACCATACTCTTACTTTGGGTGTAACCCAAAAGTGGAAGATCGCTTAACTCTAAGCTAAATACCCCCCAGCCGGCTCATGGAAATCCCACCAGTTCCTTAGTAGCAAAGAAGGCAAATAGGCGAACTCTTTGAGCGTTGCAAGGGCATGGGTGTTCTCGGGCCGTTCCCGAAAACACTGACCCCTGATCATGGCTCAGTTCATCAAAGAGCTGGCTTTCCGAGAAAGCCAATACACACTGTATTGCACCGTCTCCAAGTCTTGGTTGCCAGACTGTGTACCAGACTTAACAAGATTTATCTTTGTAAGAGAAGTGCGGGAAGCGCGAAAAGGGGACATTAATCCCCGGGTATCTTCACGCAGCCCTCGGGGATGTTTCACCCCGTGTGGGGCCTTTGTGTGACCTCACCTGCAACCCTCTACCTACCACAGCACGAGGTTGCGGTTCGTAATGCTGGAGCCTGCCTCTGTGCATCGGCAATGCCTGGGCTTGCCAGCTGAAAAGCATGCCGGAAGCCACCCATGGTCACCGGTCAAAGTGATGAGTCCTTTCAGCGTGTTGAAGCGCAGCTGGGCAAGCCGACATTTGTCTCACCGAAGGCGGGCGCGGGATGTGCACATGCAGCCGGGTCACACCACATCACAGCAGTGGCTTCAGGCTCGTACTCCGGTGGCTCGGGGTACAGCATGTCTCGGAGACCGGGGCAGAGCCGTGAGGAGGGGGGAGACGGGGGATCATCCGTCGGGAACGACCATGGCGGGGGATGGAGGTGGCACACAAGCCAAATCAAGCGTAAACAGCCCAGGTCTTCAAGTGACATTCTCGTACAGGGATCTTGTGTATTGTGGTTCTCGGTGTCAGTAGGTACACACTGAAGTTCCAGGTGGTTAACACTGGAACCAGGGCCTGAATGCCGGCTTGTCAACCTAGGTACCTACTGAACTTGCCACGAGGCCTACCAGTCGACCTTTGCACGTTTCCCTTGATCGGTTGATCTTCATACTTACACAAGGATATTCAACTCAAAGACATCTTCCATGGTCAAGCTCATCTGCTCTAAGCCGGAGGTATCCAAGCCTTAGCAGCATCGTGTGGTAGAATGCCAAACTACCTACTCACTCACCTGGGCTCCCCGCGATTCCCGGGTTACTGGCAGTCTCAAGAGTGATCAGGCCCTAGAAAGGAGGAACACGGCCAGCTTATGCTGGAATTGTCATCTGGGGCGTCTATGCACGCTCAAACTCAGTGCTTGCAACATTCATTTGTCCAAAAGTCAATCGTCAAGAGTCAGTGACCACTACAAAGAAACAATCTGCATCATCCCCCTCGTCAGCCAACTCTCAGGCCTCAATACTCTGGGTACGGCCAGTACGAAATGAGAGACCTGGGCTGCTTCTGCGTCGTCTGCTTGTACCGCCTCTCCCACGTTTCAGAGTCCGTCAGCAGGGAATAGTGAAGCCAGTCAAAAACCTTGGACAGCGGCACCTGAACCTCCCCGCAAAACCCCTCCAGATCCTTCACTGTGATTGACGTCTTTTGCTCGGTGTAGCTGGCATCCTCAGTGCCAAGGGGCGCCTCTGCGTCGAAGTCGGGGTTCACCGCGCGAATCGTCAGCCACTCCTCGGCCAGCAACTTGTCTTGGACAAGAAAACAGTCTCGCCGTATCCCCTCTGGAAGAGCTTCTCGCATGCTCTTGAATCTTTCCCTGAGCGCATCTGTCGACGCCCCGTCCAAGGCAGCGTCAGATACAAAGACAGTCTCAAGTGTCCTCCAAAGTTCCGCCTTCGGTGGGCGACCACTCCAGCTCTGCATGATCAGTTTGCCCACGGTGTCAAAGCGCTCCTGGAACTTTTTCCAGGCCTCATCGCTGCGGGGGTCACTGTATTGAGTACGCATCACAACAAAGCCCCATTGTGGCAGATCCCTGTCCACCATGTCTTGTACCCAATCAGCACGATGGCCGTGCCTGGCCTGCTTGAGTCGCTCGGCCTTTCGACGTGCCTCATCGGCCCTTACTCGTGTGTACTGCTTTCGCTTTTCGGTGGCTCTCAGGATTGATGGTCCTTTGATAGCTTCACGGCCCTTGAGAATAAGAGTACGGTCATCTGCCGACAGTTTCATGAGCCTGTCGAGGTCGGTCGCCTTGTTTGAAGTGTTTTTCCAATCATAGTCGCAGCCACGTATGATCATGTCGCACTCCAGCATGCTCAGGTCGTCGCCTTGGGTCAGAGCCTTTTCGTAGAGTTGCTCTTTCGTACAACCGAGACGTTCCTGGCAAAGTCGTTCCTCGTCTTCGGGTGGAATTCTGCCAAAGACGCGGTTTCTCTCGGCCGGCGAGAGAGATTCGGGGTCGTCTTTGGCCCGTTGATAGAGAGCTCTCATCTCTTCATCAATCATGAAGGGAATGATACGACCACTGACGTGATTGTTCAAGGTTTCACGGGTCAAGCCGAGCTCTTGAAGAGACAGCCTGAAGCCGTCCAGATGGACAACATCTTCCTCAGACATGACGGGCTGGACAAGGCGATGGCTGATGACTCTGACAAGAGGATAAAAGAGAAGTAAATGCTTGTTTATCAGAAGAAACGATTGCGAGAACATCGCGGGGTTCTTCTTCTTTTGTAGGCCATAACCGGGCACGTATGGGTGAGACATTGTGGCCTCAGGCATGAAGGCACCACCCACCCTTGTGCAACGTCTGCACTAGCGGCTCCATTTTGAGACGAATAGCCGGCACACGCTGAAGCTAATCCCGCTTTGGAAGGTTTCTAGCCCCATGGGGAAGTGCTCAATTAAAAGCTTAAAGCTGGGGAGAGTCCATGAGCTTGGTCGAGAGCTTAATCGTGAGAGCTTGATATTGCTATATGAGATGTTCTTTAGAGTGAGGCGAGTTTATATGATAGTTCTATGGTGAATTTAGCGGTGGGTTTGCTAGAGATAGAGGGCATAGTAATGACAGTAGTGTACCAGCTAAATCCCCTTCCTTTTCATCGACTTCATAAAAACGCGTCGGTATGGGAGGGCGCAGACCCATGACAAGAAGCTCCAGATCTCGAATCATTCTATAAATAAATGAATAGCAACAACCAGAGGGATTTTTGGGTTTAAGTAATGATTATTCACTTGATGTTGTATGGGTTCACCTGTATGGCCTCCTCACCCTAGACCATTACCGCGTCTCGCTGGGCAGTGAGACCACAGATAGTACGCCGCTTTTCTCACGATGGTCTTTTCATAAGTACACAATATGCTTTATATTCTCACAATACACTTATTCATGCAGGAAAGCCCAAGGGGAGATCACCAGCTCCGTGGTTGGCAATACTGTCTGTACCTGGGTCGGTGCTCGCGGGAACTAGCTTGCAAACCTGGTGTCTTTTGGGTTGGGTCTAGAAATATCCAAGAGGTCTCAGAGTAAATGAAATCACTGAATCTCGATTATGTGATTAGGAAAGGGTTTGACCCCCTAAATCAGGTCTCAACTAAAGTGAGAATCCTTGTGGGTAGCTGGAGCGTCTTCTGGTTTCAAGGTAAAAAGGGTTTCAATTAAAAGGAGTTTGACCTACCTCTCGATTAATGGGCCAGATGATAGAAACATTATAGTATGCACTGTGATCGCTGCATAGCCCAGAACAAGTATACCAGCATGAGTTCTCATCATCCACGAGGGGCAACCATGTCTCAGCATAACCGATCGAGAGGGTCATGTTCAAATGAGACAGTAGCTAAGCCAAGTGTATGCTGTCCAACCATAAGACTGAGAGCAAAAACCTTTCCATAATTAAAGTTCACGCGCATGTACGCAACCAGGGGTCAGGGGCTGCCACATGGAAAAGTACCGAAAGCCACAGCTGAGAAAAGCGTGGCAACCCGTCGGCATATCTGCGACTTCTACATGAGTAAAAATTCTCTTCTCCACGTTCCGATGTGTAAATCTGCCGAGAGATCACTTTGTAGCTATTGAAAGCTCGGGTAGCTTCGTGATCTAACAAGCATCTACGATTGAGAGCAAGGGCACAGTTATCTCTGCTTGACTTTCGAAGAACGACACTTGCCCTAAAAAGCTCCGGGAGACATCGGACATTTTCCTTGAAAGCTACCATTGACGTATTCTCGCCTCAATATCTCCCCTATGAAGCAAAAACCTGTCAACGTTCACGGAATCGGAGAGTTCAAGGACACATGCCATCATGATTTGATCTGATTTGAAACTCGCTCAAAAATACTATTACAATTATCATCACTTTTGCACTATCCCGAATTCGTGTTCTTGGCCTTGGACATACTGGATTCAAAACCTGCGGGCTTCCTACTAGCTGTTGAACAACAAGACATCTGGATTATTACCGTACATGAAAAGGAGACTTGAATTATGACCCAACCAGTAGATTAAGCTTTCTGCCCTCCCGACCGATTTAATTATTATTAGTTTAGTAGAACCAGCATCATCGAGAGTCCGACTGAGAGGATAACCGCGTTCGAGACCTGGACAATTCCGGCACCAGCAGTTGGAACGACGGCCGTAGGTGTGGCAGGAGTAGCTGGAGCGGTAGGCACTTCGGCGGGCTTGGACTCGGGAGGAACCTATAAACATTCGCATCAGTGGTTGGCGTCAATTGAGAGGATGGCCAACATACAACAGGTGGGACCTCCTCAGAGGGCTTGGGGGGATAAGGCGGAGAGGGAGCGGATGGCGCGGATGGTGCTTCAGGAGCAGACGGGACAGCCGGGGCGGAAGGAGCCGAAGGGGCTTCAGTCGGAGTCGAGGGCGCTGAGGGTGCTTCACTCGAAGCCGCAGGAGCTTCGGTGGCCGGGGCCTCCCCGCCAACGCTCACGCCAGCAGAGCCGCACAGTTGAACGCCGTATTGCTCGGCCTCTAGGGAAATTCAAAGTCAGAGAGTCCACACTGATACAGAAGAGAGTCATACTGGCGGCGTCTTCGGAGCTGCAAGCCTTGGTCACACAGGAAGTGTAGCCTTCGACAAAGACCTTGGACTTGCAGACGCAGGCAACGTCAGTGGAACCACAGCCGCTGGAGGCGAGAATGTTCAAGGCGCAAGATTGCTGTAAGTGGTAAGTACACCTTCGCATTCGAGGGCAGGGTCAAACTTACAGCGCACGAAGGCAGAGGGCTCTGCGCCAGGGCACCAGCCGAAGCGAGGACGGCGGCGATGAGGACTGACTTCATTTCGAGTGAACGCTTTGATTCAGAGTAAAATAACGATCGACAGAGGTTGTTTAATCGTGGACATAGATACTACTCTGAGGTTTGAACAGAACTGACCTTAAATATGAACATGGTCCTACGTGCTTACGTACGGTGCCTCACAATAAGCCTTCGGGACCCGAACAAGTCGGCTTGAAGTTTAACGCCAAGGCGTTTCAGGCCCAGCTCGTATTCAACATGTGCTCGTCAGACCATGGCCAGCCCTATGAGCTGTAACCCGGGTCGTCGGTGCTGACGTCGTGACGGTTCTAGACGATCAGAGGAAGGAGCTGGAGACGGTTTCTGGACCCAATTGACGTCGTGCGTATCTCTATACTGTCCATAAAGGCACAGAAGATGGAGAATACGACCGGGGGATGCCGTACAACCCGAGTGTTCGAGTCGTTTCACAGCAGAGACAGGAATCATCACGATGACTTCACCACAGGAGGGGTAGCAAGCTCAGCTGCAGAGAAACAATAAACATGTGCAAAAACCTGCCCTGAGATGTAACTAAGTTTATTAATGCTTATATAAAGGCTAAACCTCGTATCCGGTCCGTTTCTGCAGACATTTGTAGGGATGGGGGCAGACAATGGCAAGGAGAGAAGCATTTCACATTGCCCTCGATTCGCGGGAGAATACGTCAGAGTCATCGATTTTCTCGACCCGTCCAAGATGATCAGGAACTTTGGACCTCCATCTCTTTCTGGGAGCGTGGTGCTGATTAGTGTCGGCATAAATGCCATGGAGCTGGCCGAGTGGCCGGCCACGACGGACACGAGGGAGACTTGCTTCGTCGTCGTCGTACGCCGCCGGCTTGCAGCATGTACGATGGACAAACAGCGATGAAGCCATGCATTGCTCCATGCCTTGAGGAAGGCCAGCCCGACCCCGGAGCAGGGCTTTAGAGAGGTCCCCTGTGAAACATTGGCTGTCTGGCATAGCCGACATCCGAACAAGCGATGCACCTATATCTTCATGACGTCGTGATGCATGATACCATGGTGTTGATACGTCCATAATTACTGAACATCTGATGGACGACCTCGGGCATAACAAGCTCTGGGAAGTTTTAGGTGACTTTGGGAAATTGGCGACTCATCATCACCATGCTCGTCTCGTCTGAGGCAGCCATTCAGAATTATTATAACCCAATGCTTTAAATATCAATCATACGACGGCAAGAATATACGTCTGCTGGGTGAATGGCAAGTATATTTGCCATCTACGCCTTGCAACCCCCATAGAGCGTACTCGACCAAGCCTTGTGCTGGGAACCACCTTGTAGCATGTTTCCTGACCCCTGACGACTTAAGCCGAAACCGGCTTTCGAGCCCACACAACCTTCTGCCAATACCAGCCATGCTTCTTTCCTGAGCGGATCTCTCGACGCAGATGGGTGGTGTAAACCTGGATGTCCTCCCTGCTCCAGCCACCAAGGACGTTTGTCATGAATAGGATGAGCCCCTCGAAGTCTTGCTCCATGGATAATTGAGCATACTGGCCAATCTCTCTGAGCTTTTCATCCTTGGGCCAACTGCCTATTGGAGACTATGAAGAAAGGGACTGTTCAGAATGTTCATAATTCGATGTATCAATAGTCCTAAAACTTACAAGCTGTCACTAACCTTGTGCTTCTTCTCCTGGATATCAACAAAGCCTGCCTTCTCCAGGGCCTTGTTCTGGAGTTCATCCTCGACCACCGTAAAGGGCCGTCCCATCTTATTGCCACCCTCGACAAAGATCTTGCCCCATTGACCCATGGCACTATCTGGTTCAATAGTGTTGTCGTCGCTCTGTATGTAGGCCGACGGCTCCATACTTTGAATATAGCTATCGGGCTTGAGGCATCGATAAGCCGCCTTTATGAGAGCTTCCCAGTCAGCAATACATCCGGTCAAGAAACGGACATGGACATAGTCGAGAGAAGCTTCAGGAAAGGTCCACTCCTTGGTGCAGTCGTCGATCTGGCTGGAGAAGCAAGTAGTCAGCCATTGTTCCATACCTACCTATCTCTTGTTGATCTAATACTTACAATTGAAGATTTGGAGGGGTCCAGCTTGGCTGTATAGGCGATATATCGGTTCCGATCACCTCACAACCGGGAAACTGATCGGCAAAATCACTGCACTGTGATGAGTTGTCCTGTCTCTCGATCTTTGAAAGTAATCTTACATGGCCCAAATACCTATGGAAGAAGCTTAAGTTAGTCTCGTGAAACCAACCTAGAGAATGCAATAGTTAAAGCTAATTTGTCTATACCTGTTCCTGTTCCAATATCGACAGCTTTCTACACGTTGAATGAGCATAGGGTGCAATACTAGAACAAAGGGAATACTTGCCTTGATGTCATTGCTCAACGGAGCAAGGAACACCTTTCCATCAAGACGGATAGTCTGGCAGTGATGGCTAAGAAAGCGTAAGATGATGTGACAGCTTAATGTATGCCATGGGCAGGCCTCACTTGATATCCATAGCTTCATTTTGCCGCTCATCGTTGGCACCCCTTGAAACCCAGTGAGTGAGGGCGTTAAAACTCTGAGTAACTAACTAACCAGTAATGCGCATCGCCTTGTTCACTATGGAATGTCCGCCCAAGGATAGTGCGGTACTTCAGGATGCTGGACGCGATGGATGCCGTCGAACTAATGTTGTCCTCGAGCGCAGAGTCGGCATTTGTCGTGCCATTAAAGTTACTCAGCCATGAAGCAAAAGTTAAGTGGTGATTTGTACTGACTATGGCCGCCTGCTGCCAATGCTGTGGGGGCAGAATACCCGAGCCGTGTGACGCTTCAGTTGATACGGCCTGGGCAGCCAGAGGAGGGCTCCCAGGGCTGGCTGGGGCTTCCACTGTGCCTTGAGTCGCATTTCTTGGCTTCTTGGCTTCGTTCTTATCCGACATGGTATCGTAAGTACCTTGGAAGCTGATGAAAGAACTGTTACCTCCAGGCCAGGAGAGTCAAGGACACGTGCGGGGTCTGGAGCTCGAGGCATTTCGCAGCCTGCTTTGTTTTCTCTTCTCTCGTTGTATTGCAGGCGCCGATTATGCATCAAGGTGGAGAGAGGAAGGGATCAGCTTAACGTCTGCATGCTCAAGTTGAAGCCACAAACAAACCCCGCACTCTTGAACCCGGCACATGGGACGCAGATCGATTCCGTCTTCAAGTTTCGAGGGGCTTGCCATAGCCTTACACAGATCCACAGAGTATGAATTCAACAGGTCTGTAAGAGCGCAAAGACTTCAAAGAGAGGCCTTCAATTAGAGACACAGCGTGCCTGGTAAGTGACAAAAGGAGGATCGTGATCGTCACCCATACCGGGTATTACCCTCGTTGCACCACAGGCGCCACGCGCGGGATTGGCATGATCCCTGGCCATGTCTGAGCGGCAGCTGAGAGGAATGTGCAAGGCCTCGACTCTGAGTTGGTTGCGAGGGGTGCTCCATTGACTTACAGGAGCCAGGGTGCCTTGACTGGCAGTGGAAGCAACGTGGAGGACCCGTGACTTCAGGTTCCAAACTGTTGCCTTCTGCTATCGTCTAACCCAACCCGCAACGCGCTCATAGATGCAATAAAAATTATTCCGCTACATCAACCTATCGAGGCTTCATCATCTAACTCGTAACGCAGCCTCGTGCTATGGCGCTTCGTATACCTGGCTCGTTGAAGTGGTTGTAAAATGGGTAGGCAACTCGGTCTTTGCCTCAGGGCTCTCTGTAACTGCGCCGGGCCTGGCTGGTACTGCGTTTGAGGGTGATACTGAGGTGGGTAATACTGAGGCCATCCCGAATTTTGTTGCTCCTTTCTCCTCTTCAAGTGCCTCCAGATGAAGAACCAATGGCACCCAGTATTGCGATTCCACCGACTGATGCACCGACTCCAATACCAGCTGCAGCCCCAGCTGAAAGACCCGTCTCTTTGTCTTCTTCCTTGTCCGCAACATCCGCGCCAACTGACTCTGTCGGACTGGAAGTCGCCGTTGTGCTTATACTGGTGGCATCAGATTCACTCTCGGTCTCGATCGGGGCGGGCGAAGTGGCGGTCTCTTTGGTCGTGGTCGTGGTCGTCTTCGCCGTCTTCGCCGTCGCGGAGGCTGGTTTATAATTGGGGACGGTCACGTTGAAAGAAACAGAGTCGACCAAGCTCTTTGACCCACTCGCGGATCTGTCTATGATATCTTCGGGGCCGTAAAGGGCGAACCAGAACCTGGCATGTTCTGCTCCAATGTCCGTGTCGAAGCGGCCATTGCCAAAGTCAACCCTCCATGTTGTGGACCGCTCGGTCAGATTCTCTAAGCGTTCTGTAAGAAAGTGTATGAGCACGTTAGAAGAGAAGGGTCCTCGGCGTCCGGCGTCCCACGTCGCTGGGTTTGAGAACTGGGCCTCGGAGCGTACACTGGCTACCAAGCCAAGTACCGAGAGGGCGGTAAACATGAAAGAACACATCTTGAGCGTAGGACTAGCAATATTAAATAGATGTAGATCTTGGTTGCCCTTAGGCGCGAGAACCACAGTAACGACTGACCCTGTTCGGACCAAATGGCGGCGAGCAGGTAGGCGGTGCCTGTGGTTTTGATACGGGAGGGACAGAAACCCGTGATCCTGGCACTGAAAATGACAACAATCCTCGTCAAGCCATCTCAAACTCCTGTTGGCTTTTAGTTGCAACAAGCTGGGTCCTGAGTCCCCTGATGCGTCTCATCATCACCATACAACTCCCCTTTGGGCGTGTTCTACGCCAAAGGCGCTGTCCACTCAGCCTCCAATGAGGGTCCTTGCAATCCTTTTTTTTTACCAGCACGCCATGCAGCCAAGACCATGCTACGGTGCTGTCGGAGAGGCGAGTCGCGGGATTTTAGCACCCGAGGGATCGTCTCGTTATTCGACGATGCGATCCCTTGACTCAATAGCACGAAACCCAGCTCTAGTGGAAGTGGCCAGACGGAAGCGAAGCTAAATGCCCTGTTTAAGCGCTAGGATCCGGATTTAACAAACGAGATGCTAGGGCATGAAAAAGGTCCCCAGTATCCAAGTTGCAGATGCTGATAAGAAGAGCCAGCAGCTTCACTCTAATCAGAGAGATACACAGTTCCGCACTGCGCGGCAGTTTCAGGTAGTCAGGCTGGCGTTTAAGAGTTGTGAGTGATTCGTTGAGTCTGCTGTGGTCGAGTTTCTTTAGCGGGGCTCGCTGGCCTAGAAAAACGGCCGCTACTACCAGGGACGGCGCGGCAAAGTCGGTGATGAAACGCTCATTACGCGTTTTCATTGGCTTTGTTGTTCCAAGCTCCAGCCCTGGCGAGCTACAGTGGGTCTCAAAAAGTAACGACACATTTTCCCGTACCCCGCTTTTACTTCTACCTCCACCAAAATCATCACCAACTTCAATCGTTCATCACGCAGTCAATTTACGTCCAAATGGCCCCAAAAAGACATCATTCTCCTCATACGCGAACGAGGATTGTTTGGAGATACAATTCGGGCGTGTCGGCCGCCCAGATCGCGCGGGAAGAGGGCGTCTCTCGACATGCAATTTACGGTGTGGTACGAAGATATCGCGACCAAGAGAGTGCCGCGGACCAACCCAAGTCCGGCCGGCCGCGCATCATTGGAGAGAGGGAAAGAAGGAGAATTTTGAGGGTTATTGCCCAAGATCCTCATCTTCAGATACGTGAATTGATTGAGGAAGCTGGGTTAAGCTGCTGTAGGGCGACTTTAATCTCATACCTACGAAAAGAAGGAATCATGCATTATAAGTCTCTTCTTCGACCTTTCCTTAGTGAAGCCAACGCCAGAAAGCGTCTACGCTTTGCACGGCGGTATGTTCATATGGCTGAGGACTTTTGGGAGAAATGGACCTTCTCTGATGAGGTTATCATCGCTCGAGGAGAGGGCCAGAGGCGTACGTGGGTCTTCTGTAAACCGGTATATGTTCTTCTCATAACTGCGACTTTTCTGACTATTTCTAGCACGAGAGACTCTTCAGACGGAATGTTCAGACACGCGTACGACCGACAAGGCACTCACAGATGTTCTTCAGCGCTTTCAATCATCGCAGGCGCCTCCCGATGGTCCCCCTGGCCGGCGATCCAGAAAGCCCTCGCGGCGGAGTAACTGCGCAGATTATCCTCGCATGCTTGCAGCGATACCTTCCCCGGATTGTGACAAGGAATAGTTACTTCCAACATGACAACGCCAGCACATTTACAGCCCACATCGTACGAGACTGGATCTATGAGTGGTGTGAGAGTCGAAGGGCCGAGGTGGTAGACTGGCCGCCTTGTAGCCCGGATCTCAACCCCATAGAAAACCTATGGGCAATCCTCAAAGAGAGGATTTGCAAGCGATATCCAGAGCTCACATATATGCCCAAGACCGACGAAGCAAAGCAGGCTCTTATTGCAGCTGCGATCGAGCTGTGGGAAGAGATTGAGCCGGAAGTCATTGATAACCTAGTCAACTCAATGAAGCGAAGAATGCAGGCTGTTGTGCGCGCCCACGGCTGGTATACTAAGTATTAGATACACCAAAAGATGCAGCTCTCAATTATCTATAGATTGATATAGAATACGATGCAACTGGCCCTCATTTGGCTGCGCAATAAGGCGCTGAAGATGTAGTCTCATTTGGTGGTGGTACTGATACAGCGGGGAAACCCGGAATGTGTCGTTACTTTTTGAGACCCACTGTAGCCTATCACCTTGAACAGCTTGACTGCATTCAGAGTTGATCAGACATATTCAGTGGCCAGTCAAATGACAGAAGTATGACACATTGTCAAACAGCCGCGTTGGCTTTGCATCTGCCGAACCAGCTGACTCTCGGTGTGATATCAGGCCATCGAAAAGCGGCATGTAGCGACGGGATGGTCTTGCAACCAGCTGCCCAAGAGTCACGAGGTCAAAGCCCAAAACAATTGATGCCTCAGACCGACCTTTAGGCAGCGGTTTTGTTGGCCACAGCCCAGTTGTTGAAATTGTGATAAGTGATTTTTGAGTGGGATTAGCGTCCAACAGGGCCATGTCGCGCAAGGGTTGGGAAGAGCGTCACTGACACGCGACCCTGGTCAGATACAAACATTGCAGTTGCTCTTTGTTATCGTTTGGTATGGACCGAGATGTTATTATTAAGCTAAAGAGGTATTGCGCCCCAGGTCTGGTCAAGCCCTGCTGAAGGATAAGAATGGAGATGAAAACATCTTTGATGTTTCCATCTCTACTTGACTCGTCGCCGATGATCATCAAAGCTTAGATACAAATAGCAGCTACTCAATGCATAATGAGAAATGAATAGAATCTTGGTTCTAGATTAAACACAACTCCGTCCATACTGAACCAACACCTGACTGCTAGCTTTGGTCTTTGGTAACTCAGGTTTTCTTTGAAAAATCTCTTATAAAGAGCGCGAACGAGACTATCATTTTCATTGGGACTTTGACTCATGTTCACTTGATTCACGTGATGTTTGTTTTGTTGATTTCTTTGTCACGTTGTTTCAGTGGCCCCTGATTCCATTGTTCACCATTCCCCTGCAACGCGCTCACACTGCTATGATCATTGTTATGTCTCTTTGTTGATTCGTATTCATCATAGCTAACTCGCTACAAGGTGGAAAGAACATTGCCATGGCCTCGTATTGCTCGCTTCGAGTGACAGGTGCAATATCCAAGTATAAATGCCCCTGCTCATTAACTTTGACAAGACGGCCTCTGTTCTCTTCAACCCAGTTCTTCAAGCTCTGTTCGAATACATCCGCGATCCCCACCATTACGGAAATATCCTAAACACAGTAGCAGGACTTTGGTCAGCCTCGGACCTTCATCATGTCTAGCAACTGCACTCGTACTGGCTCCAAGGCTTCCCGCAAGGCGGCTAAGAACACAGTCTTTGGCGCAACTTCCCACCCTAGCAGCCTCAGTGGGCAATCGAGCTCTAGTGTAAGAAGGAGCCTGTACAGTGGCTGTGTGGAAACTCAGTCTGCGTGCCTTGAGGCCAACTACGAAGGCCCTTCTGACCGTTCGCATGCTATCTTCTATCAGCCAGATCAAGGTATTCAGCCTTTGGTCTCGGATGTAAACATGGGCCGTATTGAGGAGCCAAGAGCGCTCCGCGCTGAGCCTGAACTTCGTACGCTGGCACTCCTTCAGATGCAGCAGAAGACGAACAACACGTTCAACAGTGGCGGCCGCTACTAGCCTCAGATAACTGACGAGGGCCTAAGTCGTACAGCTAGGGAGCCCACTGCAAGACTGGCTTTACTATGGCGGTGGGCCCTGTTCTTTGTTTGACGAGGCAAGCTTATTGGGCCTTGGTATAAGTATAGATATACCACCCAGGATATATAACAATAGAGTCATTTATACGCATTTTCCCAACAGAATTTGGGACTGTGATTAGCCTCACCATCGCCAATGTTATTTACGTTATCATACATCAAGACTTGAAGTAGTTACTGCAGCAAAGATGGGGAGTAAACCCATGCCCACTTAGTTCACTCCATCCGCCCCATAATGATCCAGAAGTACTATAAATTACACAAATCACATCGACGGATCGCGATAGATAAGGATGCCAATTTCTTATGGAACTCAGGTACAGCCACTGGAGCCTCGAGGTGAAGTGTTGTCCCAACCTACAGTCTCGACAGCCTCAAGACAACATGACCACCAAAAAACAAGGCAATAAAATAGACAATAATTGCAAAAAGACATACAACAGCGGGGATTCGCTGGTCGTCACCGACCCAACTACTAATCCGCCCCTCATTGGCTTGACTATGGGAGAGCGGACGGGATCCCGTATTTTCCAATGGGTATGGTCGTATGTGCCAGAGGCCACTGTTGCAGCGGCTCAAACGGAGCACCTCCGAGGTCAGCCTGCACTCTGGCCTACCAACAGTCCGTTCAAGTATCTATGTCTGCTTGATGACCTTGACAGCAAATGGGTTGGCGGTAAAGGTACCATCGGGATCAGCTTTGCCCCTAGCCTTGCCCAGTTTCTGGTACTTTTGCTCATCCTCGTAGTAACACTTCCAAATCTCGGGCTTTCCAAGATCCCAGTCTCCATAAGAGCCCCAGAGAACACGCTTGTCCTGCTTGCTGAAAGGGCTGGAACGGCCAACCATGATGGCGTCGTTGTCCTTCTGCCAGTTGAGAGCGTACTGTCTGTACTTGTCGCCGGGATCGTGGAAGCAGTCGAGCGTCTGAACAACAGTGGAGTCTCTCCAGCTGTAAGACGTTCCGTTGTTCCTGTCGGTATAAAACCGCGAGTTGTCACCTCCAAAGCACTGGATCTGAACCGAGAGCTTGCAGTGGGTGTAGACTTCGTACTCATCCTCACCCTTGTTGTGGCCAAGCTTCTGGCGCGGGTTGTAGATCAAATCAATACGCTTAACAACAGAGTTAACCCAGCCATCCTTCTCAAGGGTCCTCGAGTTGGTAGCGTATGTACGCTTCACGTAGGGAAGGTCAAACTCCCGCTGCTTGGGGAAGATCCATCGCCCAGTCATCTTGGACATGTCCTCGTCGGCCTCTGACTCCTCAATCCGCAGAGTGTGCAGCTTGAAGGAGTCCTTAAGGTCTCGGAACTTTTGGAACCAGGCATCGACACTCTTATCATACTTGTCGGTCTTGTTGACAGGGCACCACTGGGCGTAGACAACAATGATGGCCGGGAAAGCTCCATTGAGCAAGTCCAAAACGTCATCCGCAAGGGCTTGCTTGATCTTGTTCTGGATCTTCTCCCACAGACTGGCATCCTTCAAAGATGGGAACAGCATTGTGACGGGAAAGTCGGTACTGAGGACGCTCACACAGAGGTCGAAACCTTGCGGGAACTTGGCGTCATCCCCCATCTTAGCCACCTCGGTGAGAAGCTTCTTTAGAACGTCGGGGTTGTAGAGATACAGAGCCTTCATGCCATGAGGACCCTTGATCCCGTTGGGGCCAGCAACTGTCCCCATGTAGCTCTTGCCCTGGAACACCTCGACGATGTAGTGGGTGATGATGCCATAGTTGCCGGGACTGCCACCAAGAATGGCGTAGAACAGCTCAGCGTCGCTCTCCTTTGTGATCTCTCGAATCACGCCATCGTGACAGACAATGCGAATGGCTCTGATATGATCACCAAACAGGCCGAAGCTGCGACCAAGCTGGCCATAGCCACCTGTTTGCCCATGGCCACCTACACAGACATAAGCACACTGTCCGTGTGGGACAAAGAGTCCATTATGTCTGAGATAGGCGTTGAAATCCTTCAGCTGATTGCTGACACCAACAAAGACCAGTGCCCTGTCCTCAGCAACAGGGACCTTGGGGTTGAGAACCTTCATGTCCTTGTACGTGTTGGAAAGGTCGATCTGGATGTTCTTGCCACCGGTCGAGCAAGCTCCACTATACTGGTGACCGCCGCTCTTAACTGCGACGGCAACTTTGTTCTGCCTGGCCCAGTTGACAGCCCCGATGACATCCTGGTCTCCCTTTGGCTGAATGATCATGGCAGGATTCAGGTCGCGTTCCTGCTGGTAGGATGAGGAGGCGTACTGTTGGTTGAAGTAGCCATAGTCAAGCTTCTCGGATGAGGGGCCATCACGGGAGTATTGCATGCCCTGGAAATCCTGAATTTGAGCCATTGTTGGTGTGTGAAGAAGTCTGTTCGAAAGTGTTGGGAAGCTTAAATTTTATGCAGAGGGCTGCCCTTCTTATATTTCGAATAGAGGCTAAGAGCACAGCAACCAACCTACCAACTTTACATGCAAGTTATCATCACATGTTCCCTCAAAGTTCAACATTTCTCTGATTTGAGACACGGCTGTCAGTTGGTCCTGCGAGTGAAGCTCGAAACTCTCAGCTTACCGCGCCACCATTCTCTAAGCCAGAGTCTCCGTGCCAATCATTGGGGTGAAAGATACCGTGTCTCGCAATGCAGAGAATCGGTGGAAGATGGTTGGACGGTTGGACTGACGATCGCGGCTTGATCTGGGAGATTGTGACACCTCAGAGTAAGGCTGCAGCGAGTGCCGAGAGATAATCTTACTCTTGGCTTAGGATTCGTAAGCTTTCAACGCAGGTCAGACGTCCACTTGTGTCATTAAGCATATTCAGGAACCATTCTGTCAGACTTGGAGTGGAGTTGTCTCGGAACTCCACGGCCGTCATTGCGGGGAACATTCCTGGCTTCTGGTATGTGATGATGCATGGAGAAAAGTTGCTGCACGTTGCATGTGCCCAGACCATGGCGGGGTACAGTTCTCGTTGTCAAGGGCCATGGTTCTTGTAAGTTCTGCCAACGTGAGGGGGATGGACTGGCTCTGGGTTAAGAATGGGGTTAAGAACTAGGTTCAAATGGCATGACGGCCTTTGAATTGCTTATCTCTCGCAAAACTGTCTTAAGATGTATCAAGTAAATATTCTGAAACTCAAATAAACCGGAAATGGCCCATATCTCGTTTTGTAGTGGAGCAAGTCTTGCATCGCATGCGTGGCATCCAGGCCATGGCCATTCATCAGCATAAGAAATAGAAAGCTTTGTGGATGAGTAACTTGGCAATGTCCAGTTGAAGTGGCTACTTAAGCTGAAAGATGAACTGGTTCTGAGATTCCTAGGAAGGAGAGCCTCTATCATAGGCAATTCCCTATGTAGCAAGCACGTAGGCCATAAACGAAGAAAGGTGTTTAACCCCAGGGCGAGGACATATCTGGATCTATGCCATGAGACGGCATACACTAATGCCCGAGCCCCAACACTTCGTGGAATCTCCTTTCCATCCTCGAATTAGACGAAGAAAGCAATGTTGCCAAATACCTTTGTTGGAGGTTACCCACGAATTTGTAGTTATGGGTCCTGGGGCTGGCATTATGACATCTTCATGTGAGCTAGGAAGGCAGTGGGTAGAAGAGAACTTATATGGTTGTTTTTGCATCTATAAATTCTCTAAAGAGCGCTTCAGCCACAATATGAAGAGTTTAGTCGAAGAAATGCGTGGATGCCAATAAAAGGCCTGACTCTGAGAGAGCTGGGCTTCACGTGCTAGGTATCTACCCATGGGGCCCCTGAGGAAGTATCTTGAGGTACTCTCAAGTCAAGACAACATTGTGACATGTTCAGTAAGGTCAATTCTATCCTAATTTAGATAGGAAGAAAATCGATTCTATGCGAAACGTTCGCATGACCAGAGAAACGGTAGGATAGAAGGTGTTGCCAATAGTTATTCTCGTGAGATGAGGTAAGCTGACCGGCGACGTAATGGATAAGAGCATAACAATTGAGTTTGCTAGTCTTCCTGGACTCACCGTTCGATTATCAAGTTCTTGGCAGCTTTCCAGGCATCGTGGCAGAGGATCCATGGCTGATAAATCCAAGCTGACCACCCCAGAAACAAGTCTGACCACCCCAATACATCCCCTACCCATCTATCATTTCCTATCCGAAAACCCAGCCTCTTTTTTGGCACCATTACCCACCCGGAACAACAGACTCCGATGATGAGAAAAGAGACCATAAGCCGGCCCTCGCGAGACGGCGCTCGGCGGCTCTCGGTGGATATGCTCGCCGGGCAACTCTTGACATCAGTGGCTCGGACCCTTGATGAGTCGACGCTGTCTCAGATTGACTCGGAGCTTGGTGGGGTGGAGTCATATTGGACTATTATTTACCTCATAGATGCTGATCATGACAAAAGTACCCCCTGGGGCTGGCGCGTCTAGACGTTGACAGAGGGAGGACATGTCCTAAGCACTAAGCCCTACGGTCCAACGGGGAAAGCCTTAAGGTTTTCCGTTCGGTGCGGAGATAACCAGAATCGTCAGTAGAGAGTGAGCTTGCTGAGGAACCGAATGGGCTTTCCCCGAGATGCGGTAGTGTCTCGAACCTCCTTGCGTGGAGAGGGGCACCAAGGGCTTGACGTCGATCACCCGCTTCCCATCGGAATATTCGCAAATGCCGGACTTGTTTAATTATTAAGCGGATGTCCGAGAAGTCCGCTGCATCGGCCATGTTACTCTCGCTGAATTTAACAAGTCCCACATGTGGTTCCATGCAGCGATGCATGCAGTTGCGAGGGGCCGAAGCGAAGGCCCGGCGCGAGTCCCAGGCCGAGGGGCCGAGATACGGCGGCGATTATTGACCGACTAAGCGCGAGTGAATTGAAAGGGTGTGTAGAGGTTTAGCAAGATGAGTATAAATATCCCTGGGGTTGTCGTGGGGAAGAGAGCTACTACTATCCCGTTTCCACTATCCTCGCTTCATCACCATATCCTCAACCCACCCCACAAAGATTTCCAACACCAAGGCGTGTTAATCCATACAACATGACTCAAGGCTCAACATCTCAAGAGCGCCGTCTCTATTGGCTGCTTACCTCTCCTCGCACAGCGTCCAACTTGTTGGTCAAGGTGCTGAACCTTGACGAGCAGGGCGTTCGTCCCGCCCGCGAAGGCGGATATTTCTTCC